ATAAAAATAAGTAATATATATAAAAAAATAAATAGGATCTCTTTGCCAGTGTATTATCCTAATTACTTTACTTACTCATAAGAATTCCTCTAGAAGATTGAGAACTGCTTTTCTACTGAAGACAAAAACCCCCAAAAAATCGCTAGGGTGCCCTGTTTGTATGCTGGGACCTTGATCCTGAGAATTCCATGTGCTGTGAGACAGTGTAGAAATATTTTACAATCTCTGTATTTGCAATTTAACAGTATTAGAGATAGATTCTGGAAAATTAATAAAGGAAAATTGTGTAGATGTTTAAATTGTTTAGAAGAGTGAAATCTTTTGAGCAGCACTGTACATACCTTTAATCCTCTACTGCTATATGTGTGGACTGTTTTTAAAGGTATGTAATGCTGTGATACCATTCTTTTGCCACTTTTAATGCTTACATCATTGTTACCTCTTAATGTTCTAGTGTAATCCTGGCTTGTGGAAAAGGTTATGGTGGCAGAAGTGGCAACTGGTTAACTCTGAAAATTGTGTAGATTCAAACTTCCTGCAATTGGAAAAAGAAAAAACAATAACCATGAGAGAATTCAGCCTGTGTCAAAATTTCCTGTATTTTTAAAGTTGTCCATATAGTGGGAGATGAAGTTTTTATCACTTTTCTGAGTAAAAGTGTTGGAAGATAATATGAACCTAAATTAAAATACATAAGGACCATTTTCCTTTTTACTATAAAGTAAAATTAAACAATAATTGGCAGATGATCTTCCAGTATTTTTTCACCTACGTCTCCACAACTTGTCTTACAGAAGCAGTTCTGTTGTCCTTTTTTCTTTCCATGTCGATTTTCTTTCCCCCCCTCCCCTCTTTCAGTTGCTTTTAACTTTCTTCTTCCCCTGAATTCCATAGATCTCTGTTCAGTTATCCACTTCCTTCCTTGAATTGCTGTAGAAACTCACCATCAGAGGGCTGTACATTGAGAGGCTTGCACTTTATTCCTCCTTCAGCTCTTCAAATTTTAGATGCTGTTGAATAACACTGTCTTTTTTAGCAAGTCTGCTAATAGTTTTATAATTCTTTACATTCACCACTTCTCTCCACCCTTGAAAGGAACTTTCTCTGGATGTTTGCTACCCACTCAGTTGGCTAGATTTCAAAGTTTCTCCCTTGTTCTAAGGACAGATTCTCACAAAAAGATAGGGTTTGCCTAGTGTAATTTCCTGAATATGTTGTCCTCTTAAAAAATACCTTGTTATAAGTGAACTGAGTATGTTAAATCAAGTTGGATAGCATGCAGAGGTAGGAAGTTAGGTAGATGCAAATCCTGCTTTGTTACACAGAACAGCGGAATTTGATGCATTATTTTTGGCTATGCTGATGAAGCATTGTCTGTTACTTGCTTATACTTGTAATTGGATCTAGTGTCTAGGCCTCTTACTGTTAAGTTAATTGAAAATAGCAGCCCCCTTTTTTTTTTAGTGAAAGTTGTGCTGTGTAGCGAGGAATCAGGGTAATTGTTAACATGTGAAGGATAAAGTGTGCAGATTATGGATAGAATTTTGCTTCAAAAGTGAACGTAGGTGTTTGCAGGCATTAGAACTAGGGTGACAGCATGCTGATGTGTGATGTTTTAGGTTAGGATGAATTTGCTGTTTTCTGAGCTTTTTTTCAATGAAGGAACAGTTGTCAAATCAAAGTTACTTTTTGCCTGTTGGTGTACTTGAGGGATTTTTTTTACATTTTATTTTTAAATAAACATCCTTACAAGTAGTGCAGTTTCTCATATCATGTAAATTTCCTAAATTGTCGACATTTGATTTCAGAATTTGTGCTTTGTTTGATCCTGCTTGTGTTAGAGTTTTTCATACGGCAATTATCATATTTCTAAGATCTAGACTCGAGGTCAGCTGTCCTTTACCCTGCCTGCTCTGACGCTCCTCCTTCATCCTTCTGGTTTTGCCTTTATATTTTTGTATTTAAATGACTTTTGTTGCTTTGATTGTAATGTTAAAATTTATTAAGCCTTGGAGAGCTTAATGACATCAGTAGCAGTATACAATGTCCTTTAAAGTTTTTTGGATTTGTTTTCATATTTTAGTAAGAGAGAAAAGCTAGTATTTTATAATCCTTCATAGACTGTTGATTTAGCTGACAAGACTCTTTTCCCCCCTGGTTCTCAAAGTGGTGTTTTAAATACGTGATTCAACACATGATGTTTTAAAGTTACCCTGATACATGAGGAAAATGAGATTGTCTGGAGAGCTGTGCATGGAGAGCGGTGAACTAATTTCATCCACCCGTTAATGAAATACAATTACTTTGGGCTAAAAAAAGTCACATACACCTTCAGCTTTTTCCCCCTCTCTAAGATGAGATGGTTTAAAAAAACCCAAAATAAAACAACCAGTTATGAGTCACTGAAAAAGAATGGTTTAGTACGCAAATAGCATATCTAACCATAACTGAGTGATTGCTGGTAGTATTCCTCTAATATGCACTACAGTTAGAAAAGCAGTAAGCTCTGAAAGTTAAACATGGCTTATGCTTTTGTTTAAAGAAAACCCAACTGATTACACTATTACATTCAGCACAAATGAATTAACTGAACAAATTTTGTGTTTTATTTTTAAGTTATCACACACTCATAATTAGACAGCCCTATCTGCTTATCAATGTGAAATAGCTTTTGTCAGTTTTTCTTTAGGTTCTGTAACTTCATAAACTGTTTGGAAAGCCTTTTTCCTAGATCTGTGCAATGCAAACAACTGGGATTGACACCCCTCTCTCTATTAATGTTACAGTTCATTAACCTCATTGTTCACATCTTTACACTTCGTTGATTTGAACAGAATGATTTAAGTATGGCTCAGTAGTCCTATTGTTTTCCCAGTGTTGCCTAGACTGTTAAGAGTTTTGCATTTTTTTTCATATATGCTTTCTGTTGTGAATTATGGAAAGGGACAGTAATGAGGAACATACACAACTGTTATGTACTTATGACCCTAGATAAGCCCAAAAGAGTGGGTGCACATGGAAAGTAAGTGTGTTTTAATTTTAATGTATTTTGTAAGAGACTTCTAAGCACTATGTGGAAGGTCTGTATAAGGTTGTAATACAGATACTAACTTAGTTTCAGAACTGTCTTTTTATTTGTGTCTTTGGTAGCCCTCACTGGTGTATTTTTTAAGGTAGGGAACTGTAATGGCTTTGCCTCGTACTGTTCCTTTCAGCAAACAAGCTAGATCAGTCTCAATAGCTCTGCTAATGCATTAGTGTTAAAGAAAAGTGGAGGTTGTGAGAGGAGCTCTTAGGTACCTGACTTATTAGCTGACTACTAATTGTGAACAAATTTCACTGGCAAGTGCATCATTTGCTATTGATTTCCTGGCATGTTTGAGCAGCTCTCAGTACCATACTGAGTAAACTGAATGTATTGAGTTAAAGGCTAAATATAATAAGACAATTATATATGTGAATTGAAGGAAAGTATACATTTTGTTAAACCCTGTGTTGAAATATTTAAAATGTTTCTTCTTTTTAGGAAAAAAGATTGACATATTGTGGTTTGCTTCAGTGATTGCTTCTTGAGCTAGAGGCCACTGAAAAATGAGATTACTATTTTACTAAATTTCTAAAGACATTGCTTTGACCTTTGATATCTTTTTTTGATTGTCTGCTTTGCAGCTCCTCATCAGCGTCTGGAACCTGTGACTCTGCCAGGGATTGTCTCATTTGTGCTTAGTCTGTTATGTGGGGCTTTGAATTTAATTCGTGGCTTTCATGCCATAGAAAGTCTTCTCCAGGTATTGTACATGTTTATGAATTTAAGAGTTACGCATCTTAGCAATCATAATACCACCTTTGAAGATGCTTGCTATATGAACTAAGTCTTGCGAGTTTTGTTTTCAGAAATACTGTTTGCGAGGTCAGACCTCTGTTTATGAAACTTATATTGTTTGTGATCTGTCTATCCTTCTTGAGTGTGATGCATCATTCATTGAGGATGAGTTTCAAAAGCGGTAGAAGGTGGGTGGCCAACTCCTTCCCTAGGTACCTTGGTAGCAGTGAGTATGTGAACATAATGTTCTGTTTTCTAAATTTATGCCAGGATGTGAGATGTTGGATTTTAATAGATGTTATTTAAAAACACTTGAGAAAAATGATGAGCGGCTTTGAAAATCTGCCCAAGTTTTTGGAAAGGTCTACAGAGCAGGGGTCTTTAAACAGGTTTTGTAAAATTGTTTTTTAGCAACTTTTTTTGTTTTGTTTGTTTATTTTTAAGAAACATTCTGAAGTAGGATGCTTATTTCTCTTTGCTGAAAGGATCAGTGTAAGGAAAACTGTCAAGTGATTTCTTCTAAACCCCCTCCCTGCAAAACAACACCACCCCCCTCACCAAACAACCTCTCCAATGAACATTTGTTTGTTTATGTGAACTCTGTGCTCTGACCCTCCCTATAGCCTTTCAGTTTCTTTCTAGTCCATTTCTTGTGCTAGTTGTATTCTCATTATTACGATTAAAATAATAGCATTTAATGATTGCAAGTAATTCAAGTGAGTATGCTGGTAGTGCTTGCAAGCAGTGCTTGCAATCACGCACAGAAAGTTCATGTGTGTTATCACAAAAAAAGACTTAACGTTAAATGGCTCAACTGTTGTGGTGATGGAGGTAGAAACTAAAAATCTCATGGAAGTTTTCTGAAGGAAAATGGGAATCCTCCTGCTTGGCTAATAGATAATTTTTTATTCAAGCATATATCTGGACTTTATCACTGCAATGCTTTTGATACCTAATGGATTTTTTAGGGAAGAAAGGTAAGGGAGATGACCTGTATTCCAGTTGTCTTAGATAATTACTGGTATATGTAAAGATTTAATAGAGCAGTAACGTTTGAGGTATCAGCGTTTCCTGAAGACTAGTGAATAGATGAATAGGGTTGATGAAAGTGTTCCATGCTAGGTCCTTCTTTTGAGTTGTTTTTGGTTTGTTTTTTAAAGAAAAACCAAGAATGAAATAGTGAACATAAATCTTTACTTTATCGCTAATGAGATTTTTTCTGTGTTATACACAATTCTCCCAGTTTATAAATAGGAATGAATTTAAAGTACACTGTAGTACAAATAGTACTAACAGATTCCTACCACTTAGCATAACGTTTCTAGAACTTGTTACCTTTCTGCAGCTGATTTTTTTTAAAAAGGAATGCCAATGTTATATTAACCTATTTAAGTGATGATTGGGCAGCCAATTAATTTTATTCTATATGTTATTGCATCTGGAGGTAATAGATGGCAGGTATTTTTTAATTTCTGACAAATGAGACACACTAAAAATCCATTAAAATTTCTCTGAATTTACTTTATTATGGAAAAATCCACAAGGTTTAGGGAGAAATAATCCGAAACGTAATAAATGGAACTTCTTCTGAGAAGTCATTCAAAAGCTTATCTTTAAATTAGTGTTTCCGTTATAATCAGTGTTTTTATTTGGGTGTTAGCAAAAACCTGTTACAATCTGTAGCTATGCTCCAGCAAATATGCAGTGGCACCAAGGCAAGGATTTACATACGGTTTGGGAGTTTGTAAGTTTTATGTGCAGACATACAAACTTTTTCCTAGTCAACACTGTAGATGGAAATGCTTTACATGGAACATACTCTGAGCAGAAACAAGTTGTAGTTCCAAATGGAACTTCTTCTCAAAATGATACTTGCTTTCAAGGAAGAACATTTGCATTAGTATCCATTGTTTTCCTGGGAAAGTTTTTGATTGTTGTAGATGTTTGTTTGAAATGCAGTTAGAATAATCACTGAGCACGTAAATTTATTCTGCTCAGCTCTGTAGAAACTCTTAACAACCCATTTGAATAAGTTAGAAGGAGTTTTTTTGTTTTGTTTTCTAAACACATAGTAGAAAGATCTATCACTTGAGGTAAATTTTTCCATCTTTTCCTTCAAGAAAACTTAATTTTCCAATAATCTCTCTGATAAAGTCGTGTGCTTTTGTTTGTTCTCACTGCCATGAACGCAGAGCTGCCTGCATTATTCTCTGTGTAGAATTTTACCACACTCTAGTGGTCGATTTGTGTCTTTTTATCTCATTTCCTTGTGAGGCTGGAGGAAGGCGCAATTCTACAAATTTGGTATTAAAGGTAGTTACCGGTGTTTAGACTTGAATTTTCAAAGGCATCTGGAGAAGGTAAGTATCCAGTGTTAGACCTGGACTTCCTTTAAGGCTTTTGAAAATCTCAGCATCAGTTTTCTGTTGTGAATAAACATCTGGTCAGATTCCAGATCACAGTTTTTCCCAGACATATAAGTAAGCAGTGATTAGTGCTAACTCTTTCGGTTTAGCGTAGTATAGGAATTATTACAAATCTCTATGTGAGACTATTTTAACATTCAATAATTAATAACTTTCATACTGTAAATATCTGGTATTTCACTGAAACACTGTAAAACATGGCTTTTTTTTTTATTTTCACAGAATGAAGGTGAAGATTTCAGCTATGTTATTGCATTTTTTCTTGGAACAGCAGCCTGTTTGTACCAGGTGTGTTATTCTGCTTGCATAATTGACTAGACTTTAGAAACATTACCCTGGCATGCATAAATGTCATGATGTTTTCTTAAGTGTCACAGATACTTGAATAGGGTGATTATAAAAATAATTTCTGCTCTGTTTTATTTCATTACTCATAAACTATCATACAGTAGATCGATATAAAGAGCTTCTGTTTGCTGTCATTTTTCTCCAGTTAGTTGATGAAGAGATTTGGTATACTTTTCTGTCTGGAGTTTACAATTTATCTCTAAGTAGTAGTTTCATAGTTCAGGTAAACTTAACTATCTGAACCAATGCCTTACTACTTCTTTCCTTTGGGAAGATCTGAAGTAAATACAGTAATACCTAGGCACTACACCCCAGAATTTTCCACACTTTGTACATTATTGTGCATCTCCTTCCTTTTCAAAGCTTTCAGCCACTTTCCATTATGTTTTCTATTTCCTGTCTGATATTTCATGTTGCATTTCATGTCTGCAGGTTTTCCATTTCTGCTTCTGAATTTGATTTCCCTATATAATTTGTAGCAAGGTGTTCTGGTGCCTACTGGCATTTGTCATTCAGTGACACTGCTATGACTATAATGTCTGCCATGCTCAATTGCTGTTACTATAATTCTTTTGACTTTTAATCTCTTGCACTTGTGGAGTATGCAGTTTCTACTTGTTACCATGTGCCAATGTTTAGTACAGTGTCAGCCCATAAAATAAAATAATGTCTCAGGTTTTCCTTTTATATCAGTCTTTCTGTCAGTCAGCCTTTTGTCCAGGCTACCTGTAATCTCCATGCTCTATAATTTATCTCTAGCAAGATGTCACAGTACAACTTGTGTTCTTCACCGCTTGTTGACTTTTCATCAGCTTTTGCCTTAAATAATTCTTCAGATTGGTGTTAATTTTCCATGCAGACAGTCTGTTCCATATCAGATAAGGAGCTCCCCCGTTCTTTTTTTCTGTGGAAAATACACATTCTTCCCTCCTCTCCCAAATTAGAAATGTTACTCTTTAGAAAAAAGTATTCATCTCTCTGCATTGAGACATAAGGACCTATGTCTTCCCTCACTGTCTGGCTTGAATAGAACTGTTTTAAAGAAAGAATCCATGCAACTTGAAATGTAGCCTTTTTAATATTCAAAATATATCTGTTGAGACTCTTGTTCCGCACTCTCTGGTGTCATCCCTACAATATGTCACTGGTCAGTTTTCAAAACTAAGAGACCTGTCAGTTCTCTGGTATGTTCCGATGTTGTTTTGCCACCCTTAGGAGTTCGGGAGATTAATTCTGTATGTTCCATGACAGCACGTTTCATTGTCATTCACCCAGAAGGTGTCCATAATGCTGTATTGTCTTGTTCATTTAATAACAACGTAGCAGTGTATTTCTCTTTCTGGTTTTCCAAGAAAACATTTGTGACCTAGGCGTGCAGGCAAAAAACGGGACTTAAATGGAGTATGATGTTTTAGGCTCACTAACATGTCTAGTGTTCCTCCGTGGTTTCTAGTCTCTTCTGAAGAAGAAAATGTACAAAAGTGAGAGCGGTCTCAGTTGCACCCAAAGTGCAAAGCGTCAGGAGCTGAACCTTCAGTCATTTCTTAATATTTATTAATAAATAAATAAAAAAAATCTTCTCTGAAGTAGCACAGAGGAGCCTTCTACATAAAAACATGCTCAGTAATTGCCATGCTAACACTTCCCTTTAACAGAATTAAAAGAAACCCTCAGGAATTTCCTAACAGCACTTGTTCTAGTAAGGTGTTAAAACCACAGTGTTTTAGCCTTTTGACTGGTGCTCTGTTTTGTAAGTGGCAAATCTTCTAGCATCTCAGACCTAGACCAGTGAAAAGATAGGCCTCAGAATTAATTTAAAACAGACCTTCAGTAAAATTCACAGTCATTCAACATCATGTTGCAGTAACATTTTTAAACTTCTATAGTATTTTTGTTTTTTAAATCCTTTATATTAATAATTTTGATGAAGCATCTCCTGACTCGTATTTTAATCTTGGAAGCAGTTACACTTCTTCATATGTTGTCAGTGGAGGCACTGACGCTAGGAAATTATCTGAATTCTGCTTGTGGAGATACTAGTACCAACTAACTGCTCTTTTAGATATGATTTGTAAAACTGTCAGCACAAGTAGGTTGCATTTGCTCTGCTAAAAATGAACCAGCAGGTTCAGAGGAATTCCACCTAGATTCTGAACTGAGTGGATTACTTATCTCTAGTTTTACTTTGCATTGGAGGAAAGACATACAAATCTTACTGATACTGTCAGTACTCACATCTCTGAAGATACTTGGATATCCAGAAATTACAAGTAGTTTTGTTAATCTTAGCCACACTTACAGTGGAAATGCACGCTTTATAAGAAAGTGGTTGAGTTTTGAATAGAATATAAAATAACCTCAATAAATTGCATTGTTTGGTTGCAAATGTACAATGCTTTGGCCCTTTTTTGAGGAACATGAAAAATGAAAAAAACTTAAGTAGAGTTTCTCTGACTGATAAAATGTGGCAAATGTCCAAGAAGAAAAGAAGTGACACTTCGATAATCTGATGATGGATGCTGTTAAAAATTGTGTAAGCATAGTTATATATCCACTGGGAACAGTTTTGGAATACAAAGTAAGCCCAAGTGTTGTTGTTATCTGCCTTGAAGCACAGCAAAAACTGTCTTCAGCAGACAGAAATGGCTAGAATCCAGAGGGAGGGCAAACTTTTTTTTTTGTCAAAGTCAAGGAATTAGTTTGAACAATAGCAGAAGTAAAAATAATGTCAACATAAAAGCTATGTCCTTTTAGAGATGGAAACTGAGGCAAGAGACTTGAACAGGTTTCCAGTTGCAGTAGGAAGACAGAGTAGGGAACTGTGGGCAGTCCTGACGTTCTGTGTTACACCACAGCGTGCAGAAACTGACCCTTAAAACATGGTAGAATTACAGTAGAGTTGTTGTGTATTTCTCTCCATCTTCCACCAGCTGAAGAGGGGCAGTGGGTATTTGTGGGCCTCTGCATCTGTCAGTTAATCCTCTGCATTAACCCTAGCAGGACACTGGGTTGGTATCTGGGGGATTGCCTGGTGCTGAGTATTCCTGGCTGCAGGGCCCGGGTATTTTCCCTGTCCTTCCAGTTGCTTTGCCTGAGAAGACTTAATGCTGACTCTTGTTCTTTCTCCATTGCTTGGGTTGAGCAGAGTGTATTTTGACCAGAGATTGCCAGAAACATCCACTTTCTTTTGTCATGGGCCACTCATTATTGCAGATTATAATCAATTATTATGAGAGAATTGTTCTCAAAGAGGGTTTAATGAAAGCAAAATGTAACGTTGTGTTGATGTCAGGTACTTTTCACCCTTCCATGACTGCTAAATTGATACTGTTCTTACATGTTTGATTTAGACTTCGTAAAGTTTGGGTTTGTAATTTCTCAATGACCAGAATAGTGTTTCTTCAGTGGAGTTATTTTCCATGCAGTAATCTGATTTCCTTTTTATTTCCTGACAGTGCTACCTGTTCGTATACTACACGGGCTGGAGGAATGCCAAATCCTTCCTGACTTTCGGGTTAATTTGCCTATGTAACATGTATCTGTATGAACTGCGCAACCTGTGGCAGCTTTTCTTTCATGTGACTGTGGGAGCATTTTCTACCTTACAAATTCGACTGCGACAACCACAGGGAAAGTCCCCCGATTACAATGTCTGACAAGTCCTGCAACATTTAGAGGCAGTCTTGTTCCAACAGTTATTCACTCTCAGGAATGTAAAGCTGTTCTCCAAAAGAAGAAGCTGTCTGGATGGGGCACTTTTTTTTTTTTTTTTAAATAAAGCAATGTAAGATGCCTGTGGACATTTTTTGCTTGATGGTTAAACACACACACACACACACACCCCGCCCCGCCCCCCCCCCCCC